ATTTAACGTTAATTTTACGTATATTACTTTATTTAATCCTCAGTACTAAGTTTGTGAGGTTGGTACCAATATTATTTTACAAATGAGAAAACTGAAGCCTGGGGAGGTCGAGTAATTTTCTCAAGGCTATACAGCTGGTAGGTTGCAGGGCAGGGGTCTGAATTAAAGCAGTTTGGCTTCAGAGTCTGTTTCTCAGGCACTACCCTGTCTTGGGAAGGTACCTTATCTATAAGTAGCTCAGTAGATATTCTGAATCAGTTATAGAGCCACTGAAGCAGGGCATTAGGGACATTAAACTCCTGGCTCCCAAGCTACACATCCTAGCTCTACGACTTATCATCTGTATTACCTGGTAAACGTTACTTAACTTCTCTAGACCTCAGTTTCCTCATGTGAAAAATAGAGATCATAACGGTACCTTCTCACAGACTTATCATGAGAAGATCCAAGCAAAATGATTCGCTTATAGCAGGCCCTGGGTAAACGTGAACAATTATTATTTCTGTTTATTTATCTAGCGATCCCACTGTGTTTGTCTTGTATAGATAGGTGTGTAATGTACACACACTATAACTGTCCTTCAAATTCTTATTTGATTTTCAAGGTTGTGATACAACATCTCATTAGATTTTAGCCTTTAAGCAGAAGATTCCTGAACATCTTTGAACACTTATTTAATCAAAGGAAATAATTAAATAGTTTGTGGTGAATTATAATCTTTCTAGACTGTAGTCACATCAAATCTCTTTGGGGAGAACTTTTAAATGCTATTCTCACTATTTTTGGAGAATATAGATTCTTAGAGTTTGATTCAGGTGTCTCATGGTTACCCAAGAGATCCTTTTGTAGTCTGTACACTGATTGCATCAGCCTCATAGCTGGAAATAGTTATAGCAAACTGATGAAAGCAGAAACGGGAATGTCAGCAAAACAGAGTTTTAAGCAAACACACACAAACACCCATTGACATACACACACAGGCAAACATGCAAATATTTTTCCACTCAGCCTTGGAATGTTGAGATTGTCCCTCCATAACCCCTGCCTGCCCCATCCCCCATGACTTTGTTTTGGATTCACACTTAATCTGAGTTTACCAGACTGGAGGAGTTGAGACTCAGGCATTATGCTGAGGCTCCGCTTGAATCCCTCTCACACGATTCTCTGAAATTTTCTCTTTTAAAACAGTTATTTAGGTATTTAAAAAACCCCAAAATAATGAGCTTGTCATTAGAAAATTCAAAGAATCATATATAAACAATAACTTAGGGTCTACCCCAGTCTCCCCGCTTTCTTTGCTTCTATTTCCTGTCGTAACCAATGCAGATGCCCAGATGTGTCTCCTTCCACACTCTTCTTCATTCTAATACAAGCGTATGTAAGTATAGTATATGTTGACTTATGAAAGCTTTAAAATAAAGAACGGCAATATACTGAGCACATTCCTCTGTGTTACACAGTGGCTAAGAGCACAGACTCTGGAACCAGATCCCAGCTTTTCCGCTGATGAGTTGTGCGACCTTGGGCAGGTGACCACGGACGAAAAAAGGGGTTCTACTAACCTCACAGTGATCTGATCATAAATTCCTAACTGGACAGGTCATGGTGGGTAGTCTCACCCCAAGCATATAACTTCTTTAGTAAAAGGCTTATCTTTGTCTTAAGCAAGCCCTGTCCATGGTTTCTGTGCATCTAGGTTAACACACCTTTGAGATGCCTCTTTCAGACTCCTCCTAAATCATGACCTCCCTCAAAAGAGCACTTAACCTGTAATCCTATCTCCACCTTGCTTTCTCCCACCTCCATGTAATCTTTCTTATTTCTCTCCTTAATCTCAAATACTTAAAAGAAACTGCAGACTGTTATTCTCAGAAGCATCTTTCTCATTCTGTTGAGATCTTGCTTTCAGGCGTATTTTCTGTTTAACTCAAATTTTTATAAAAATTCTCTACAGGTATGAATGTTCTTATGTTGACAGGGGTTAACCTCTATGTTTTTCTTATCTATATATAATGGTTAAAATAGTAGTGTGTACTTCGCAAGGTGTTTTTGTGCCGGGTGAAAAATTACTGCTTGGCTATCGCCCGTGGGAACATAGGCTGTCACCCATGGGAACATAACCTTCTAACAATAAGCTTTCTGCTTCTGTACCCCCACTTGCACAACCTACCTGTGGGTTGACAGTAAATAGAAGAAAAATAGACTTTTGTGTTAAGACAGAATGAGGAATGGGATTTAGGGCTTAAAAACCCTGTACCTCTACATTTCTGGGCTGCTTAATTTGGGGTCTGCGTACCCCTGGCAGACCCAGCTGGCTGAACAAAGAGCGTGCTTCCTATAACTCACTGGTTTCTGGTGGTCCGTGTGTCTGTCAGGGGCTGGCGGCCACAAAATTTTTTTTTTTTTTGAGTAAATAATATACGTAAAATATTTAAATCAGATACTTTTTTTTTTTAGATTTAATTATAGGACTTCTCCCTGGACCCTTACATTTAGAATTAACTCATTGTTTTTAAAAGCTGATAAATATTCCACAGATCTATCATAATCTATTCAGGATAAGTTGTGATGCCAGCTTGATGCCCTTACTGTGGTGGGGGAGTGAAGTGGAGCGGGTGAGAGGAGGGAGACTCATTGTTCTGAGAAGCTGTTGTTGGAGAATAAGAATGATAAAATTTTGCCAAAGGCTCATTTACCGGTATTTTCTTAATGTTATTTAAGAGACTATTGGCTGTTCTGAGTAGGGCCTTAAAATTGGAGTTTAAAATACCAAAGTGCGGCTGCATGATTATTTATAATTTATTTTGACTGTAAATTTTTATAACATCAGCATTTAAGAAATATTATTCATGTCAGCTTTACCAAGCCCTCGAGGGCTTCTTAAATAATTTTTCAGCAAATTTTCTCAACCAGTGCTCAATATTTAGTTTGGAGTTTGCCTTTTGATGCCTCTTCTGTGATCAGTAGCCATCAAATAGTCCCCATCCTTCTGACTCTTAATTACCAATAAAATATGGAGCACAGCGCCTGAAAACCAGTGTGCAAGACAATCTCACTTTTACTTCTTTCTGTTTAGATATGCAATAAATGTGGCTTCTGATAAATACAAATTTAGAATTAGATAGTTTTGTATAACACACTGGAGTAAAAACAACAACAAAAAATCAAACATAGCAGATGCTGTCAATGTGGAGTCATGTCCTTTGGGCATCTACCTTCCCTATTGCTTCTGTTAGCCTCTTGCATTCAAATTCTTGTCTGGTTTAGGGGCCTATTTCTAGGGGAACTTAAACTAGAACACACCTTTTTCAAACTACAAAATAACGCCTGTATGTATAGAGATGTGAGAAAATATGATCAAGCAAAAGGATTGAATTGCAACTTGTTATTTTAGCACTTAGAGAACGTATCTATTATTGATCTTTTGGTCTATTTTCATATATGTTAGTATACCTAAAACTAAAAGGATCATACTGTACATATTTTGTGTGTGTGTTTCAATGACAGGTTGTCAGAAAGAATTTTCTTTTTTGCTCTTTTCCCAATGGAAATTCTTTAGATTCGTTTTCTCTGATAATTCTAAAAAAAGTGCGAACAGATCCTGTTTTCCTGAGATAACCATTGTCAACTATTCTGTGTATATTTTTCCTGACTAGATATTTAGGTACTATTTAAAAATATCATTGGAAGCATATTTTATATATTATCCTGTAAGTTGCTTTGTCATTATCAATATGATAAAAAATGACACAAGGCATACTTGTTCATTGCAGAAAAATAAAATACAGATAAACAAAAAGAGGATAAAAAAGTAAAAGTCACATCTATTCCAAGTATCCAGGGATAACTACTCTTAACATGTAGAGTAATTTCTTGTAGACTTTTAAAAACTTTTATGTAAATACTCATGTAAATAAGGAACTTAAGAATGAGATCAAACTGTCTACACTGTTTCTAACTACATGTCACTTAGCAATATGTTGTGAGCATTTTTCTGTGACTGTAAATATTAAAAAATTATTAACCACTATATTAAAATCTTTCAACCAACTTTCCGCTACTGAAGATTTAGAATGTTTCTTGATATTTAAAAACATTTATAAATGGTATCGTAATAAACATCCTTATGGTTAAAACCCTTGAGCACATCCATGATTATTTGCTTAAGATAAGTTTCTAGAAGTAGAATTATTGGGTTAAAGGTTTATACATTTTAATGAGTTTGATAAATATTGCCAAGTTGCCTGCCAGAAGTTTTGTCAATTTACACTTCCTCTAGTAGAAAAGGAAAATGACCTTTAATTTTCAACAAAATTATTTATTATAATAAAAAAACTTACTATCATGGAATAAATTATTTGTATTTCCAGGGATCCTTTACCATTGACCTTTTATTTTTGGCAGCTGTTTGAAAGTTGTTTCCAATTTCTTTGCAGCTAAAATTCCCACTACTGGAGGCATCTATAAATATCTTTTTAATATTAAGTTTAAGCATGTGAGGTGCTTCTCATCCATATAAACTAGTTCCTTTTCATAAGAATTCTAAAGTCTGCTTAGGTTAATCAGTTTCTGTAAGATATTAATAGTTCATACCAAAGACTTACTCTTACATTTTACATATTGCAGTGAAATCTTATCACCAAGCTGTTTTACTATTACAGGCTTGATTTCTTTGTTCCTACCTCTGATCTTAAAATTTCCTTTCCTTTAAAGGTTTTTCAGATGCGAACTGTTGGCACCTTCGTTTTCGCTGGTCTGGGAATGTTCCTTCAGAACTCCTGAGGAAATTCAGAAACTATGAAATATGAAATGTCTGCACTCTGTAGGAGAGAAAGCAAACAAGATTATCTCCTGTGCTTCCAACATAGTCTTTGTTCACATCTTAAAAATGTCATGTTTATGTGTCATGTTAGTGAGTCCTGAGTACCGACTGATTTCTCCATCTTTGAACCCATTCTCTCAATGTTTTTCAAATGAGAAAAATTTCAGAAGACAAGTTTCTATGTGTGTTTTCCTCTTTATGTTATTTATAGAAATCCATTTAAAAAATTGATCTCTGGGGTGGAGGGGGGAGGTAGACAGGGTAAGGGGGTCAAATATATGGAGGTAAGAAAAGGACGAAGTGGATAAAGAGGATCAAATATATGGTAGCTGAAGGAAACTGGGCTTTGGGTGGTAAACATACAATAGAATATACAGATGTCAAATTATAATGTACACCTGAAAATTATAGAATTGTATTAATCAATGTTACCCCAATAAACTTAATTTAAAAAATCGATCTCTATATTTAAATATTTCGTTGCTATATGATGATCTCTATTAGTGCTGGATGTATAAGAAATGTTTTCTGACTCTGGACTTGAAATGTTAAGTTACTTGTCTAAACCCCACAGAATGAAATAATTTCCCCAAAGTTCATAATGAATTTATAATTCAACTATGTTTTGAAAATAATTTGAATAGGTATTTCTACTTTAATTTTAATAATTATAAATTTAAAGGATTATTTATTTGAGGAAATATGTTTTTACCAAATTTCTTCTGATATATAGCAAGAGATCAGATATTTATTTTCTTACAGTTCGAAGGCTATAAATCTAAGATCAAGGTGTCTGCAGGTTTGGTTTCTTTTGAGGCTTCTCTCCTTTGTTTTCATATGGCTGCTTTTTCACTGTATCTTCACATGGCCTTTCTCTGTGCCGCACGTCCCACATTCCCGGTGTCTCTATCTATTCTTTATTTTTTATTTTTTTTTAGGCAAGAACCCTTGGTTGACCTCACAGATTGCAAGGACTTTGTCATCTTACAATCCTTTAATTTTTAAAATTTTTATGCCTACAGCACCTGGTCTTCCTAGGTGGTCTCCTATGCAAGTACTAACTAGGCTTTACCCTGCTTAGCTTCCGGAATCAGACGGGATTGGGCTTGTGCAGGGTAGCATGGCTGTAGACCTCTATCTATTCTTATAAGGTCATCTGTCGTATTGGATTAGAGCCCCACCCTAACAGCCTCCTTTTAACTTAATCACATCTTTAAAGACCTTATCTCCAAAAAAGTTTACAGTTTGAGATACTGGGAGTTGTGACTTTAATATATGAATTTTTTTTGGAACACAATTAAGTTCATAATGTAAGTGAAAACTTTTTTTAAAAAACAAATACTATCCCGTGTTCGTTCTCTTAATTTTATTTGAATTTTTACTTTTTTGTCGAATCCAAAAGTTAGGGCCAGATGTTTAAAGAATTATTTCTATCACTATTTTATTACTTCAGTAAACTGTGATTTGGGTTTGTTACCATATCTGCATATTTTACTTCAAAAATAGAAAATAAATGAAAAAATAAAGCATGTTAAATTAATAAAATGAGGTTTTGGACTACAATTGCCTGTCATAATGCCTGTCTGGCTCAGGTAGGCACACAAATAAATACTAGATTGTATAAGTGAATTTGTAAATATAAGCATTGGAGTTTTAACTTTTTCTCTCTCCCTTGCCCCCCACTGGATTGTCTGATTTACAACACTGATGACCCTTAATGACTTGCAAAGGGAAAAAACACTCCCACTCCCATGGTCCACTCTACTTTTGTTACAGGCGGATTTCCCAATTATTGACAAGACTGAAGGCCAGCTCCTGTTTGCTTTTCTCTTTCGAGGGCCGACTTTTCTCCAATGGGAGTTAATGATGGGTCAGGCTTGTCCTAAGCACTTTATATACTTGGTCTCGTATATAACTTAGCAGGAGACCTTTGTACTTAAACACTTAAATCCCCTCCTGAACTCAAAGTTTAAAAGGGAGGGGACTGTGCTTTGATATCAGTTATTCTCTTTGAATGAAAAATAAAGGGAGTCTATGGCCATGCCACCCCAAACAAGCCCGATCCTGTCTGATCTCAGAAGCTAAGCAAGGTCGAGCCTCCTTAGTACTTGGATGGGAGACCACCTAGGAAGACCAGGTGCTGTAGGTGTAAAAAATGGAAAAAAAAAAAAAAAAAAAAGGGATTGTAAACTGACAAAGTCCTAGCAATCTGTGAGATCACACAAGAGTTGCTTTGCCTAAAAAATAAATAAATAAATAAATAATAAAGGGAATATTGGAAAACTTTTCTTCAATAATTTGAAATCCCCAGTGTGTCCAGCACAATCGCAATTGGTATGTGTAAAACATATTTTCAAAGCCATTTATTTTTGGATTTTGGCTCAACTTCATGGCAGAACAAACTGATTATGAAAAGACAATTTTACCTAAAGCTATTAAGTCAGTTCTAAATGTTAAAGATGATTAGTTTCTCTCATATTTGATACTGAGTGAATGAATGAATGAATGAGGCTCATATTACTTGAGAACATTCTCATGTGCTAAATATTGTACTAGCACTTGTGTAGTAGGATATAAAAAGGCTTAAGTCATGTTTATGCTTCAAGTAGTTGATAACTTAGTGAAATAAGACCAGTATCTGAATTTCATGATTTAAAAGGGGCATGTTGAATTAGTGTAAGTATTTAACGTGCTTAGAACATGCCTGGCACTCAGTAAGCACTATGTGTACTAGTTACTATTCTTATATCTAATTATATGTTGTCTTGTGATAATCAGTGAACAGAATTGTGGCCTCCTTTCCTCCTCAATCTCTTTTCCCCAGTACTCCATCTCAGAGGCACTGTTTTTTGCATATCTTTTCATTAGTATCCTGTGCATTACACACATATGTGTGTTCCTCTTCTTTTCTTTACGCAAATGGTAGCATACTATTTACTCTGCTGCATACCTTCCATTTATTCAGCTAATCTTGAAGATTTTTCCATTTTAGTACATAAATGCCACTTAAAAAAAAAATCCTGAGTAGGTTTTATTTGTCACTATAAAAAGTCTGCAGTTTAAACAGCTTCTTGGACTGGGGGCTCATCTCCATCAGTCTGTTCAGCTTTAGCGCCTGTCTCATCCCCAGTAGCTTTTCCAGAACCGCTACTTTCATATGAACCTCCTTGAGTTTTTCCAATTCAAATTTAGGCTTCTTCACATTTTGACTTTTCTAACAAAGACATCATAGAGCAGATAAATAGATTAGCAAGGCTATTCTACATCTTTTCCAATGCTATCTGGAATCAATTTATTGACCACTTTTCTCAAGTCACTTGTCTGCACTTCTTGGGTCATGATTTTCATTATCTTTTTCCAGATGTGGCAGACTTGTTGATGCTGAGCATAAGAATCTGTTTGTTGCGTTTGTGTGTGTGTCTGTGTGTGTGTGTTTTGTAAAAACAACCCAGAATAGACAAAGCAAATAGTCATTGGTAGTCTTGTCATCAACATGAGCTTCGATCATGGTCTGCCATTTTTTGACTGTAGAGTACATTTTATCACCAGTAAGATCCATGCCATGAAAACTAGTCAGGCAGTTTTTGCCCTGAACACCCTCAGTAACTAAGCTTGAATTTTCTAAATGAAACGTCATCATTCTGCAGATCAGCTAGGCTCACTTCAAAAACACGAACCTTGAGACCATCAGATGTCACTTGGTTCCTGGAGTTCTCATGACTATGTTTTCCCAATATTTCTTGCACTGAACATAGCTAGTGCTTTCATATTATACCAATCTTAGAAAATCAGTTAGCCACTTTCTTCTTGGCTCTCTTTTTGCCACGTTTTGTAAGCAGTTGTTCTTGCCAACTGCCATGGTGCTGCCTAGGGAACCAAAAGGGCATAAATGCTACTTTATTCTTTTTATCTGCTTCATGGCATTCTACTGTGTGGAAGAACCATAATTTATTTAACTTGTCCTCTATTGATGCTTTTAAGTTTTACAGTTTTTACATTTTTTTTTTTGAAATCACAAATAACACTATAATGAATAGCTTTATGCCATAGTATTTCTTTTATGTGAAGTATTCTTGTAGGGTAAATATATAGTACTGGAAATAGATCAGAGAGTGTATATGTACATTTAGAATTTGATCATTGTCTTTTTAAGCAAATAACAAATGCAATTTGGCAAGTTTCAGAGATCTTAGGGCCACCGGATTAGAAAACCCAGAAAGTAATGCATGTTTATTGGGATTCTTGCTTTTAGGTTTTTTTTCCCTCTAGGCTAGATTTTGTTGAGTGGCTGGCTCAGTTTGAAACATTATTCTTATGAAACAATTTACCTAGCACTTCTCCTAGCCCCTGACGCCAGGGAGTGCCCATGATATAAAGCAATGGTAAAACCAGAGCACACTTTTCTTCTGGTATCTTCCACAGAGACCGGGAAGAGAACAGCATGTTTTGTTTTGTTTTGTTTTGTTTTTTTGCTTTTTTGTTTTTAGTGTTATGGCTTCTTGCCTTCTGGGTGTCCTGAAATGTTGAAATACGATTCTGAAACAGTTTTGCTCTTTTAAGTTAAAGGGCAACTCAACAGAGCAACTCTGGAAAACCTAGGTAGAATTCACAATCTCTTAGGATCCTAAATAGTTTCTAATCCCCAGTGGATATATACCAGCCTGTCAAAAACATGCCCCTTGATGAACAAATTAGAAATGCAAAAAAAGACTTTGTAGATAATTCTTGTAAACAGAGAGCTGGATAAGGGGAAGATAAGGTTGTTTTCCTGCTTATGAATTTTCATATCCTTTCTGTGCCCAGATCTGATGGTGGTTACAAGATTAATCACAGCAGCAAGTGTCGATGACTAATGCAGTTATTGAAAGAGGTTTTTAATTTCCTGGAGGCAAACACCATTACCCGCCACCTCCATATCACAGACGAAGAGATGCCAGGACTATGAGGGAGTCAGTGATGGAAGAAATTATAAAACTGATGCAATTACTAAGAAAATGATGAAATGTCTCACAATGAAAGGCTTCAATTCCCTTCAATTTCAGGTTTTGAGATATGCATCAGCATGACTGTGTCTTCCAGTATTATTACTTCTTGAGTTTCTGTGTCACCCTCATTGTGGGAGAATATTTTGCATCAGGCAGCACGTTCTTGTTCTTTCTCCTCCCAGCCAGGCTGTTTCATTTCTTCCAGTATTTCTGCTTTGATAATTTCTTGGATTAATTAGCTGCCAAGAGTGAATATTTTCGTAGTGGAATCTAGGTGAGGATCATGGAGCACTAGATCTTTCTCTTGTTTCTCTGACCTACTGTGGGACATAGGGACAATTACTTGAGCACTCTGATCCAGTTACTTTCTACCTGTGGCTGCAGGTAAGAATCTCCCCTTCACAGAACACAGGGCCTTCCCCCAGGCCCAGACCCAGGCCCAGACCCAGGCGCAGGCCCAGAGTTAGCCTGTTTAGGGCCCCCAGTGGGGCCAGGACAGTGTGAGAACTGATGAGGGGTGTGTAGCCCAGCAACAGAAGGGAAGGGTTTGTGAGACAGGGAAGGCAGAGACAGGGAAGGCTGTGTGTCCTT